AATTGAAACCATTATGTGAATTCTTACAAACTAAGAAATTCATATAGAAATCTGAAGAAAGACAAATGATTTTAATCACTAAACGATACATTCAACTATTGTAGATTAAACTAGAAAAGGAGTTCATCAACAAATACAATTAAGAAAATTCATGTTTTGCATGATGACACCAAGTAAAATAAGAGAATTTCAATATAGTTAGTATGATAAATAAATTTATTTATCTGAGTAACATTTGCAGAGTGAACTACTCTGACGTGAGTCGAATTGCATACAGCACTTGGTGCTATTATATTGTATGTCCCATTTTGAATCAAGTGTCAATAAACTGATATAGTGAGGATGGACGGAATATTATCAATATAGAAACAAACCAAAAGGAAGTTACTTTCAAAATGATTTATATAGTTAAATACCCATTTTATCGAATACTGTTTAAATAAGATAGAAATATCTTACGTAGAAAGACAGAAACCAATAGACGTTAATCTGGAAAATTTTCTATATATTTATTTCAAATTTATATTAAATAAATTCCATATAAGTTATCTTTTATCTATTTTCGAATAAGAACTTATAGAAAATGTTCAGGAATAAAGAGTAATCTAAATGAATCTTTGTTAAATGTACTATTTACTTGAAGAATAAGTTATATGGAAAGAAATAAATACTTAACTAATTTAAAACTGACTAAAAGATAAAAGAATAACTCTCTATATATTGTTATAGTCATAGAATAAATATGGATATTAGTAAAATACGCTCTAACTCCCATTTAATTCGAAATAATTATCGATTGATAGAACTTAGAATTCCTCACTCAGAAGACTCCACTCTAAACCGTTTGCTTTGAGAAACATGTGATGAAAAACTTAAATACTAGTTTTATAATCCCACTTCAAGTCGAAATTTCACGAGATACTAAATAACTCGCATTCACAAAACGACTGTTTGATTTATTCTAGATCTATCCAGCTAAAAACTACTTTTACCATAATTAGAGATTAAACGCTAGATCTGATAGTAAAGTTTAGAGTCAAACTCACACGTCTAATATCACACACTTGAAATAACAACGTGCAGAGTCAACAGTTGATGAAAGAGAATTTATTTTAAAATATCTGATACTCAATATGTAAGTTTCGCTCTAAATTTTACCATTAGATCTAACCTTTGACCTGTAATAATGTTAAAAGTGGTTTTTAGCTGGATAGATCTAGAATAAATCAAATAGTCGTTTATGAACACAATTTATTCATTATCTTGTGGAATTTCGGCTTGAAGTGAAAGCATAAAATTAGTATTTAATTCTTTTATCACATATTGCTCAAAGAAAATGGCTTAGAGTGGAGTCTTCTGAATGAGGAATTCTAAGTTCTATCAAACGATATTTATTTCGAATTAAACTGAGGTTAGAGCGTGTTTTACTAATACCTGTTCAACAGAAAAAAATATTCTCTGATGTCTATATTGAACAAGAAAATAAAATCGTATCCTTCTTCATTTTTTGTTTGAAATCGAACAAATTGGACGGAAAGATAAATTCAACGTGAATACGTTTATTTTTCTCTAACAATAGATTCGTCTTTGAATTTAACGTCTAAAAAAAATCGAACGAAAAAGAAATCGAATATATTCAACAATAACTTGTTGAATAAAAACTAAGAAGAACAATTATCATGTCGCTTTTTCGTTCAATACAAATCAATTGATAGGAGTTTGAAAGTTTTTTCAAATGAATGCTATGCAGAAATAAAATCTTTATCATTCGTCTTGTGATGAAAATGCTAAATGATGAAAATATTCAACGATTTCTAATCGAAAATGACAATATAATTAAATTTTAATTTTATTCATAGATATATTAATTAATATTTTCAAGAATATTTCAACAGTTTGGATTATTTTAGTTTTTAACTTTAAATAGATTTTTCAATGGATTGTCAATAGATTAGATTTGTTATTTATTATATATTAAAAATGATTATTTTATCAATAAATTCATCTCGTGTCATAATTGATTATTATAAATTTATGAAAACAAAATAAGAGATTATTCATTATTTTTATTAAAGATAGCTAAAAAGAAATTGTAAATATGCAATTATTTTTATCAAATTTAATTAAAAGTATGACTATTTTCATGTTATATCACAATGTTGGACTAGCATCAATATTTCATTTACTTGATATTAATAGGAACAATATTCCATTAGAGTTTTCATAGAAAAGCATTTCAATGACAGCAAAGTTTCCATATCTTGAACATTTTTGATAGATCTCAATAATGTTCACAACAGACAATTTTCCTATGCTATAACGATTATTTATTGTATGAGAAGCAAACCTAATGAAAATAGAAGTAAGATAAGCTGTGTCATAATATTTAATTGACTGGTACCGTTCAGATAACTAGGAAATGAATGCCTTCATTATAAAAATATATATTGCTCTTAGAAAAAAAAAAGTTAACCTTGATAAAGGTACACATTTGATGAGTCTGTAAGTTGTTTATCGTAGAGAGATGTTGGTGTAGGATTTGTTTAATAGAATCTTACATCGACAATTTTATTTGAGATTATTTCACAAATGATTTTCTGTGGATTGGAATTGTATTAAAAAATTTGTATAGAAAAAAGGATTTTCCAGTATCTATCCAACATATTTCTCCAAAAACGTACAACATCTAAAAAAAAGAGAAGTGAAACAAGAAACAGGCAAGAGCTATTTGAACACCATTAGTACATATCTATTGAACAAAAAAGTTCTGCTAACTATTTTGGGACGTCCTTATTTTTTCGTTGACCTAATTGTTCAACACGTGTCTTATCATTGGCTTGATATAAATTGAATAGAATTCCTAAAGCTACTGAGTGCTTAAAAGAATAGTATTTTAGTCCAACTGAACAAGTACACGATTCTAATGGTACCACAAGTTGTCTTAATTTCATTATTGCATAAAGGATATTTGCGATATTTAGAGCATTTAAATGAATATTTTGTCGAATTTTTAAGGTTGTGTTCGATATTGACATACACCAGTTGATTTAGCAACAACTTTAACCTGCTCAAATGAATGAACTATACTTAATTGAGACCAGTTTGAGTTTGATATTTTTCAAAACAAATTCTATTAAAGTTTGTATAGACATATGCACCGGCCACTTATACGGCAGTAGAAATCACTGTTTTAAATAACAAAGAAGACAAAAGCTGATGAAATCTAAGTGATATTCAATAAATAAGGAAAAGATGATGCAATACCATGTGTTGTAAAGTTTGATGATCAAAAGTATCTTTTGTGGAACTTACGTATATTTTCGAAGAAAATAGTGAGGGTGTAAGTCGCAGTAAAAGAAGAGGGTGTGGGTGTGGGTCTTCTCTGAATGCAAACTCCACACCAACATCCACACCCACACCCACATCCCATAAGAACACCCATACCCAAAATATGATTCTCTTTTACCATTCATAGTACTTGTGTATTGCTGAAGATTTGTTATTGTTTAGTTTATACACTGTATATCTTGTCCAAAACCAAAATAATCAAGCGTTTTTGTAAAATCTTTTGCTCAAACGTATTTTTGTCAAACTTATTTGTTTATTATAGCTCTTACTTGACATTTTCGGTATTTCATTTCGATTTTTCTGACTTGGCAATATACACATTCAATATTGTGCTAGGTCTAAAGCGCAAGAGCAGCTGTTGAAAATATTTATCAAAGTATTGAAAATTATACTATTTGAGGTGTGTGTGGGTTTGCGTATAGAAGATGTTCCCCACACGCACCCATATCCATACCTCTTGCCCAACTACTTCTAACCTTTTTTTACAAGTGTTCACAATAACTCTTTCACTACAAAGCGACTTTTGGGTAATGGGTCTTGTAAAAGTTTACTACACCGTCCCTTGAAGGGCAGCTTACTTGGATTTTACTAAAAATTCAGGTAGGCCTGGTGATCTTGGATCAGGTCTGCTGACTCATGGTATGGTCATGAAAAAACTGCGGTGTACTGCGGTAGAGAAAACCGAGATTTTCACCGGCAGTATATAATCGCGGAAGTCAGACCATTTATTCGGTTTTTCAATACCATCTTATAACGCATCAAAAGAAAACCGCAGCTTGAAGCGGTTTTTAAATACCGAATAAATGGTCTAACTCTCATGAGTAAAACAGGCTGCGTGAAACCGCGGTTTTATTCAAAAACATTTTCCATAGAGTACATGCAATAAGACGTCAACTAAAATGATGAAAGGAGCTGCGGTAGATATGAACAAGATGTTATGATGCACGTTGGAAGGGCCGAATCTTGAATGACTGGATTTTATGACGAATGCCTCTGAAGCCACATCCGCAAGATGTGGACGAGACATTCTGATGAGCGACTCCCTCATTCAAGTTTCTACGACTTTCGACTTCATGAATGTAGCAAATTAAACACTCTCTCTTTTAGATTTTCCTCTGTTTGTGTGTGCGTTTTTAGTATACATACTTTTTTCAATCTTCACCCTAAACCGGCAATGGCATGGGTATTCCTCCTTTCCAATTTTCATAGATAATGCAATTCATATCTCATTTATGTTCTGATTAATTTTGATTCTCACAATATGTAATATTTAAATATAAATAACATCACACTCTCGGTTATATAATATGTGATGCCTCATTACTCGTTTTAACTTCATTTTTATCATCATTCATACAAAAAGACTCTACAATTGTGTGCGATCTAATGTCTAAATGTTTGCGTCTATGAGATAGGAATTGACATATTATATAAGATGATTCATCAAATTCTGAATTAGAAACATATTTCACATCATTATCGACAGTCTTACACTTTTCGATAACAGTACTAAAAATTGTTATTTCAGTCTTTTTGAGTCAAATAATAAATTAAAGCTGAAACATAAAATTAATAGTAAGCTGTGAATGTATTATATATCACGACTTCTTCATTATACACACTCCGTATGGTCTAATATCAGCAGTGTCGGGTGATATCCAGTATTCACCATTTCCAGTTTCTTCATGAGATAATTTGATTAAACTTTTTGGATTGACACGATTTTGCAAAATAACGAGATATTGTTGTCCATCTGTGGTAAACGATTTAGCAAATTGTTTTGCTACATTGGGGTCTGGCGTTGAATAAATCCCACGACCATGAGCAAAACGTTTCTGTTTTGTTAGATCATAACGGATCTGTGCAATTGAATTTACTGCATCATGTTTTGTTCCATGATAGGACACTGGCCATTCATTAGGACTATTGTTTGAGCCAAGCCAGGCTTCATCTTCATACTTGCCAACCACTTTAATTGCATAACGTTTCCATCCGTATGGCCGACGATATGGATAATCACCACGAGTTAAAGTCTCCCCATTACCATTCATGTTTGTAAAATCACGATCGTATCTGGGATCCAATGAAGTTCTATCTAAGACTAGCAAATCATCTGAATTCATGGCTCTCGAATGTACGACAGCTGTTTTACTGGAATCTAGAATATCATAATTCATTCAATAGATGACCTTCATTAATTTTTTGTCCAAAATAAATTAAATTTTATTTATTAACAGGTGGCCCAGAATAAATGAAGGTCTCAGTATTTCGGGTGTGGGTGTGTGTGTGACTGTGGCTGTACCTTTTACCCGCACTCACATGCACCGTAGATAACCGCTAACGAATAGGTAGTAGACAAGATTGTGATAGAATCACTAATGTTTTTGTTGTCGTTTTTCACATAGCATAGATCAATTCTTATCGTTTTCTCACAGGCTGCAGAACCACCATGCTGAATAAAGAAATTTTTGTTCTTCCGGAATAGCATATTTGTGGAAGAAAATATGTCTCAGAAATGTGGCATCTATCTATCATTCAAATGCATCACTAAGTTCTATATCTTCTCAAACTTTTTTGATGCTCGTATTCACAATGAAGAGTGAATTTTCAATAAGATTGGAAATGAAATCTACACAAAGCTATTCATATAATAAAACAGAGATTTACCTGGTGGCACTATATAAACATCTTCTTCATAGATTGAACTGACTCGAAATGGTTGTTGTTTGTTATTTGTTTCCTTTACAACGTCTTTCGCTACTCTTCGTAGAATTATGTCAATATCGATGCCGGGAGTAGTAATATGTTTCAACAAATATTTTGTGAATATGCCATTTTCTGAATCTAATGATCGATCAGGTGTTATTTCACCAGAAGCACAGGCAAATGCTATCAATGTTCCTGACGGGGCTATCATCTTCTGAAGTCCTCCAACTGACTGATCACACTTTCTCCCTTCTTTTGGTAGCCAATACGCTCGACAACAGTCAAGTAAAAATATAACTACGCGCGGATTCTTTGCAGCCATCTGATCCACCATCTGTTGGGCATTAATTGCAAATCGTTGCATGTCATAGCCACTTTCTATTTGATCATCATCACAAGGAAGAAGGAAATTTTGATCACCCCATTGCACACCATGACCAGCAAAGAAAAAAATAATAAAATCGTTGGCTTGAATTGAATTAGTAAACTTTCTTATGCTGTTGTACATTTCAGTAGATGCTAAATTAATTTGCAGATTCACCGCGTAATGAACTTCTTTTACCTTATTAGCCAGAGCTTTGGCATCATTCACACAGTTCTTTAATTTATTTTTCGAATAATTGTTGTTCCCAATGATAAGTGCCAGTTTTCTGGACATTTTTTGTTTAGCTATATCGATTTGAATACTTTAACAAAAAAGAACATGACATCATTATTAATAATATATATCCTTCAGTAGGTTTTACTAGTGTGTTAAAGTTAAATGAAAATGTCTTATAAATGATTGAATAATGATAGTTGGAAGTGTGTCTTGCAAAATAGCTATCTACAAAAAAAAAAGACGCTTTTAGTATGAGAAACAAATTTTGAAGATAGGATTTGTGTTTAACGGTATTATGCTGTAAAGGCTAAATTTCGAGTCACTATTCGTTTAATTGAAAGAAGTATAAGGTATTATTATCTGCAAATTATCCAGAAAGTCATGTCATTTCTCTCTGCTCGTTTTTCGATGAAAATTACAGACATTAATACTTCAAAGAATTTTTAAACAATATGTTGGACAGTGTATTTTTAATCTAAATAGAGATAGAGTTTTTTTATTATTTTGACAAATCCTGTCGATAACAATCGATATAAGATGTATTTTTTACCTTTAAATCATTCTTTTCTTTTGTCAGCTTTCTGACTTACACCTTTACACGAAAGAGAAGAAAAATAAAAGGATGGGTGTGGATGTGAGTATTATCCTCATCCTTGTACACTCACACTCACCCACATCCTTTTTGCAACATATGTATATGTTTCACATGTTTCTCAATATACATCAAAAATTCATTTGATGAATGGCTTAGGTAGTCAATCCACTGAGATACAGTTACAAATCACTAGAAGTAATACAAATCATAAAAAAACACCATTTTTCTCCTACTTTTTCTCAGATGACATTATTAAAACTGACAAGATCGATAGTTGACTGGCTAAAATCTCATGAAAACTAGGATTAATAAGCAACCATGTAAAATCATTCAAAAAACAAACTGAAAACAAAAACAATAATGCTTATGCCACGCGATATAATTTGACAGAAATTCGATTATACGATTTTGATGTTTAACTTAGATTTATAATCTGAAAATAAAAGAAAAATTTCTCATTCTGTTTATCTGTCCAAAAGAAAACGCAACTTCGACATCATTTTCTTCGTGTCATAAAAACGCGGGATTATTTTATCTTCAAACAAAAATTATCCATAGCAAAAACTAAAATATGCTCGATGTAAAAGTTAAACTGGGAAACCAATATCCGGAAAAAAAATTGGAATATCTCTCTTATATTTATCAGTTCATATAGTTGAAATTAGCAGAAGTTAGAGTTAAAAGTCCGCATTAATAAATTTCGGAAACATGTAAAATAACTTTTAACGAGTATCACTGTTCACTGTTGATTTTGGATGATTTTGTATTGGTAAACAATCACCAGGGTCATAACGACTTCTGTCTAGATTTAAAACTGACAATGTTGGATTCGTTTTCCACTTATCATTTATAAAGAGTTCTTTTAATGCATACTTGATCAAATAAATTTCGCCTTCACTCATTGATTTGTTATCATCATGATAGTCATCATTTCGTGCATTGAACACTCCAGAATTAAATTTAAACTTATTTTCATGCAATGAAAATCCTGCACCGACAAAACGCTCATCGGGTTCAATGCCAAAAAACCATTTAAACAAATTTCCGTGTACTATTCCTTGATTGCTTTTTACCTGGACAATATTTTTCGTCGCTTTGATCAGAATATATCCAGTACGACATCGATGTCCATTTAGTACAAACATCTGTTCGTTGTCAAAAGAGTAGATAATAAGGCCTCCCATATCTTCGCTTTCATCATATGAATCCGAAGAGCATGAAATATGAACAGTTTCAACTTTGATAGTGGGTCGTTTAGGATTAATTCGACTTTTAATTTCCAAGGAAAGACCTCGCGGACCTAAAGACGTGAAAGCAGCACGTGATAAGTTAGGTATGACCTCGATTTTTGCATTATCAGGGAGTGCTTTTGAAAGACCATCAACAGACGTAATCTTTCTGCCATTAACAGTAAAAGTACAGTTATGAACGTTACCCAGCATATTCATTAACATTTTGGCAAAATCTTCACCTGGATCAACCATCAGAATGTGTTCCTCATCTTCTATGGATACAGTAATGGTCTTCGACATTTTTCAGAGTGTGCAAAAGAGTTAAGAATATCTACAACACTAAAGAAAATAAACGCGAATGAATGAATTTGACCACGGTCGTTTGCAACATTTTTCATAGGGAAAATTTCCATAGTAATGCATTAGAATTCATTTAAGAAAATATACTCCGAGACTGAAACGTTCCATCAAAAACACACATTTCGAACGTAATGAGACATTGCAGCATCTAAAAGATCCATTGAGAATAGGAGCAGCATCAAAGTATCCTCAGATTGATGACTCTAGCGACTTTATGGCAGTAACCAGCCGAAAAATTCAGGAAAATAGTCAGATGTTGGGCTCTGGAATACAATATTCGTAGCTAGCAGCCGGCAACTGTATTTCTGCACCCAAGATTTGATCGTTTTTCTTGGGTTTCCGATCGAAACCAAACTCACTCTTTTATCTGCGTGTGACTAAATGTTTTATTGTCTCTGAGCGAATTTTTTCATATACCATTTTAATCGAAAATCATAACGCACGAAAGAAAAAAACATCAGTCGTTGGTTGAATAAGATAAACCAAGCAATAGAAGTTTCTAAGTATTTTAGACACCCAATCAATATAGTATGACAAAGTTTGCTTAAGTTCTGAATCGAAATACTTGATTCGGACATCTCTGATTTGAAATCTTTGAAAATTGAGACAAATAAGATACAATTTATAGAAAAGCTCTTTAAAAATACAACTAATTCATGAAAATTAATATACACTACGAAGAAGAAAATCTCAGCGCATCTTTGCATTGCGAAATCAGTTTTATAGTCTCTCTCAAAAAACTTTTCATGGTAATTGCGATAGATAAACTCGCTACTTTGCCTCTTCAGAACCTCTGGGATGAACGCTTTCATATTAGCATTTCGAATAAAACTTGTATATTCTTAGATCTACTAAAGTTCTTCTTGTTCGTTCTTCTTTCATTAGTCTACATCACCTAATCAAAGACTGCAACTTAGAATTGGCTAACAAACATTAAGCTTTTTCAAAATGTCCTTAAACAACTTTCCAGCAAACTATTGCATTTCTCACTTACCAGTACTACGTGTGTTCTAGATTCTTCGTTAAACAAATTCGATGTGCTGTTTCTGCTGTATCCTTGAGGTGAATATAGGTGTGAATCTAGAGAAGATCCACATCCACCAACCCCACATCCTTTCAGGAAGAGAGGAAAAATGTTTTAGCAGAGTAATTTATAAAGCTCTGTGCAGAGTTACCCAATGATTCTTTTGAGAAGAAATACAGTCTAACCCAGTCAGACAAGCGTTGAAAAAAACGACGTTTTTACGCGTTAAAAAAAATATTTTTTCTTTTTAAAAATGAATTTCATAACCTTAATATTTACAAACTTGCTTTTTCTTCAAAAAAACATTTTTTTTTAACGCGTAAAAATGTGCGCTTTTTAAGCGTAAAAACGTCGTTTTTTTCAACGCTTGTCTGACTGGGAAGCGATGAAAATTAACGGAGATATCAGCAAATTATGGATCGATCATTTGTTCTGCTACGCTCGTTAGAATAGAGATAGAGACCAATAAAATCATTGAACAAATGTGAGATAGATGTGGAAAAGTAGAACTACTAATCAGATTGTTACCTCACAAACAATTATCACTCGATTGGATGAACGGAAGCTCATCATGAATATCGCTTCGATATCTGTCTCAATTCTTAGTTATCAATGTTCCAGTGATACATCTATGTTTTACGAAGTTGAAAATATTCTTTTTCGCTTTAGGAATTATTGTAATAAGTTACTCACAGCAATGAAATAATCAAAGCTAAATATGCCAACAAAGTTTCAGTGACGGTAACTTCCAATTTCGTTGAGTGTTGTGTTTGTGAGACACGTCTTTTGTTTGTCGAATGATTATTGTCTTACTTTTGCAGCAAAGCAACATTTTCTATTTCTTATCTTTCTTCTTCCTTTTTAATCGAGCAGCATAATAATATGTTTTTTCATTTATTATGAAAAAAACTAAAAATATAGAAATCAATTTTAAATTGTATAGATGAGTTCTTTGTGAATTTTCGAACCTTGAGAAATTCATCATTAGACATAAGATATTCCGTATAATTTCATAGATCACCATAACATAAACTATGTTTTTAGTTTGTTTTCATAATAAATGAAACAACATATTATTATGATGCACGATTAAAAAGTTGATTTTTCATTAATATGCTACACTAAATTAAAATTTCTTCTTCCTACCTGCGTCTTGTTTTTGGCTTTCTTTTTAAATTCCATCAAAATACGTACTCTTGTGAGAAACATTGCACGTGACAACAGTAAAACACTTTAAATTAGGAGCAGATGACTAATGTCTGCAGAAAAAGAAGAAAAAAAATTCATACTTATCCGATGAAATTCGTTTCAAATGAAGTACACAAACTAAGATTAATTTCTGTAGGATGTGACATAATTAGTCTCGTTTAGAAAATGGCAATCGCTTAAAATGATAAACTTCATTCTAAGATTTGATTATTGAAAATTGTCAGATAGCTACTATTCTGCAAGGACTTCATTCATTTATTTCATTCTTAAACAGATAAAGCTTCCATTAGCATAAAGATGAAACGAATATTTTGTAAGATGATATACAAATTGACAATTTTCAATATAATTATGATCTTTCTAATTACATTGATATTTTTAGAAAATTGAACAGATTCATCTTATTTCTTTAATACAAAGAAGAACAAAAAAAGGATTCTGTTTTAGTGGCGGAGCCAGGATTTTGAGCTGAGGGACCTTTGAGCCTCTCTTGACGAATAAAATACACGCTTCAAAAAATTTTCTGTGGGGGGGGGGGCGCTCAAAGGTTCCTGAGGAGGGGTGAGGGTATGGGTCTAGAAGTGTGTGTCGGTGATTGAAAAAGAATAATCAACACCCATACCCACCAGAGATGTCCATCGCGGCAGAACATTTGCCGCTGCCGCGCCGCTAACATATCGAAAATTTTTTATAGCGGCGCAACAGCGTCGCTGTCGTGCCGCAATGTACTAAAAAAAATCTTGCCGCTATTAAATATGCAGTTCATAGAACCTGGGTCTCTCTAAAAAGACAAAATGCGTACTATTTAACTTACACGAATGATTCACTCGAGTATTTGCATAAAAAGAAATGTACGACAATGATTAATCAACTACAGTAGCCAGAATTATGATTTCACAGAGAGAAATTAAAACGGAAAGAAAAAAGTTTGTTTCTTAAAATATTCTTCAAAGAAGGATAATAGCTAAATGACAACAGATTTCCATCCTGGTACAATGTTTCAAATCAAAAAGAGATAATAATTGGTGGGTGTTTGAAGATATTCAGAGAATACAGTTGAAAAGGAGATAGATAATTTAGAATAAGATATTCAACTGCAAAATATTACTGTTTTCCTCTTGCATGTGAGCCATTCAGAAGTGACTTCTTTTTTGTTCATTCAAAAAAATATAGTGAGAACATTTCAAGTTACCATTCTGTATTAGAAAGTAATTTTGCACATTAATTGAGTTATCAGTAGATGCATCTATGTCATAATAATAAGTATTTTATACAGGGATGTGGCGAAGAGAAAAAAGTGGGGCGGGGGGGGGGGGGGGGGGGGGGGCGGCACGCGTTACGAGACGCCAAGAGGGTGCGGACAGAGTGTGGGA